CCCCCCCCCCAAATAGTTTTCCCTCTTATTTGTACCCAAATACTGGTAAATTTGCAAGTTTGCAAAGGCTTTGGCACCCAACCTTGCTCTCCCTTAAACCATGCATTTCTCTGTGTCAAGAAGAGGCCTCTTTCTGGCATTTCCCGAAAAGCCACCTCGGTGTCAAAGAAACCACCCAAAATGTCAACCGACCACAAGGAAATTCCAAGGCGATTCTCCCACTCGGTTTGTCCTCACGTTTGGTTTCAAAAGGCAAACACAAACAAGACTTTTTTTTGTTGTTTGTTTGTTTGGGAAGGTCAGAAATCCAAAGCAAGAGCCAGCTCTAACCATTGTTTGTGTGTCTTTTGTGCCGACAAAATGAACCCTCCCCTTTGATTCAAGGGTGTGTTTGAATATTCACAAATGTTGCATTTTATCGCACATGTGCACAAGGTTGCAATCTAACACCCGCTCCAAGCTCAAGTGGATACGCTGCATAAGAGATGGGGCCATTAATGTTGAGACCCACAGAACATTGTAAATATGGGCTGGATATTTCTAAAGTATCATCTCTGTGACCATTCTCAGATGCGCACATTCCTGTTCCACTCCCAAAACACACAATTATTCATGCAGTCCGTTTGTGCTGAACTCTTTTCTGTTCATGGGAGTTCTGTGTGCCAAGTTTGGTTCAATTGCATAGTTGGTGAAGTTCAGAATACTCTTTGATTGTAGGTGAACTCTAAATCCCAGCAACTACTGAAGTCGAACATGACCCCCCCCCTCCCAATAAGAGATAGTAAGTTATAGTTTTGCTAAGGGCAAGGACGCCAAGAGTTAAGGAGTTAAGTCAGTTTGGTGTGTATCATTTAATCAAGGCTTTATGCTCTATTTTCATATGTTTACAGCAGAAAGTAACCAATTTATTACTGAAAATCATGCCACAATAGTATTTGAATTTTCCCATCTGAGGCACACCTGGGCTCCTGATGGTCCCCCATCTCACAAACAAGGGACTCTCTTTCCCCCTCATGGATATATTTCCCTTTATGGACCTCCCTATGAATAATATGAACTATGGACACTGGAGGAAGGTAGTTGGAAAGTAGGGGGAAATCTACAAGGAAGCTGCCCTGCCTCTGGAAAAAGCAATCAGCGATCATGAAAAGACCTTTATCTTTGGACATTCTTTGAATGGACAATAGTAAAGGAAATCCTTTTGACTTCGGAGTTGGACCACCATCAGGATTTCCATTTGGCAGACTTTTTAATCATATAACAATGGGGGGAATATGACCTTAGGAACGTCCTCTTTTCCTCCAAGTCGTTTTTCATTCAAATCTTTCCACTAAGGACATTCACAAAAGTTTCCCCTTTGTGCCCTATCTGATTGTAAGAGGAAAACCTGGATTAAGCCATCAATGCTTATCACAGACCCATCTCAGGACAATAAAGTGGCTTCTCTGGAAGGCCGATCCCCGGACTCGATAAGCCTAAGGACATTAAAACTCCATAATCCACTCCAGAATGCATTGTCTCCCTTCATCCTGCCTCCCTCCCTTCTGATTCACTGGAGTGTCGAGGCAGCAGGAGACTCCTGAAAGCCCATGAAAGCCCTGTGATTGGCCCTGATGCATGGGGGACGGCCAAGCCTCTTCCCAGCTGTTTGCGCGTCAGCCAATCCCCTTTGAGCTGGGCGGGAGGGGGAAGCGGGAATTTTGAAACTCACAACTCTGTATCTATATATATAAATTTGTTAGGGGCATCCAACGAGGAAACAAAACTCAAAAACCCCCCAACGAAACAGGAGGGGGGAGTGGGAATTTTGAAACTCACAACTCTGTATTTTCTATAAAAATGGCCTTTATTTCTGTAACCACATGCTCTGCTTGGCGAATGATTGCCGCTCTGCATCCTTTTCAGCTGAATCGCTAATAAAACATCTCGGTGGCACTTCCTTCCACTTGGTGAGACCTTTTATTGGGAAAAATCAGGGATTGGGTGCTTCTCTCTGTCTCGCCAGGGTAACGAACTCTTTAAAGAGTCTGATTGGTCTCTGCCTCCTGGCAAAGACCCCTAAATTCCTGCTCTATAACATTTTCACCTGCTAACTGGGAGTTATCCAGGGAAATAAAGGTATGCCATTAACAGGATTATATACTAACCTGGATTATATCAGTCTACACATTCTGAAACTGGGTATAGGGCAGTGTAGATGCAGCCTGTATGGCCCCATCTACACTGCCATATAATGTAGTTTCTGAATCCAGATTATTTGATTTGAACTGGATTATATGAGTCTACACTGCCATATAATCCAGTTCAATGCAAATAATCTGAGGGAAAGGAAAGGGCCTGGGGCTGTTAGGAATTGTGGGAGTTGGAGTCCAAAAGACCTGGAGGGCCGAAGCTTGCCGATGCCTAGAAGTTAAAAGAAGCTGGTAAAGATACCTCTTTGGGCTTGAGTTTTGGGGATTGGGGGATTCTGAAAGTTATCATTTTTGGGGAAAAATATTCAAAGCTTTGTTTTACTCAGTCTATGCCAGTAATGTCAAAATTCCATAGGCACAGAAGTTACTTACCTTACATAAAAGTCTCTATGAATCGCCAATCCTTGGTTTGTATAGCTGTGGACAATGAGAATCTTGGTGTTTGCCTAGGAAAAGAAAGAAAAACCAGGAAATATTGGCAGGTTTTCATTTGTACATGATTTTGAGGCAGATTTTCTCCAGGATTCAAAGGAGAAGAAGGTGCGCTGAAAAGAGATAAACTCGTTGGGTAGAAATTTCATTCCTTCCCATAGAGATTCACTTGGGGAACCCATGGAGACCTTTTTTAAGGGCTCTTAAATATTTTTAGTCCTTTTGTATTTCCACATTTCAACATTTCACTCTTACTGATAGTGAGATTTAGTATCTGCTGCCTCAATGTATCAATTTACTTTATTATTGTTATTTTCTGCAATTGTTCTTTTTTGTTATAATAACTCCTGATTATTGTGTGGTTTTTTAAAAAAAACACTAAGTGGGTTGTAAAATGTTGGCTTATGGAAATGGGAAAAAGTCTGGATGAACAAGTTGAAGGTCAGTTGATGAAAAATGGATGAGAGTGTGTTTCTAGAATATTGAACTGTGTGGCAGAAAATATGATGACGTATGACAGAATCATGTTAATTGATCCAGTTGATCTAAGGATCCTTCCCTCCAAATATGACGAGGGGCAATTTCCCTCGAAAATACACATATCGTTCATCTCCAGAACTGCTCCAAAGGACTGTGAGTGCCTCTGAGAAGGGCTTAAGAAGGAGAAGAGAGGAAGGAAGGAAGGAAGGAAGGAAGGAAGGAAGGAAGGAGAGAGGGAGGAAGGGAGGGGAAGAGGGGGAAAGAAGAAGGAAGGAGAAGGAAGAAGAGGAAGGAAGGAGGAAGGAGGGAAGAAAGAAGGAGGGGAGAAAAGAGGAAAGAAGGAAGGGGGAAAGAAGGAGAAGGAGGGAGGAAGAAAGGAAGGAGGGAAGGAAGGAAGGGGGAGGGAAGAAGGGAGAAGGAAGGAAGGAAGGAAAGGGGGAAAGAAGGAAGGAGGGAAGGAAGGAAGGAGGAGGAAGGAAGGAGGAAAAGAGAAGGAAGGGAGGAAGAAAGGAGGGAGGGAGGAAGGAAGGAAGGAAGGAAGAAGGGAAGGAGAGGAGAAGGAAAGGAGGGAAGGAAGAGAAGGAAGGGAGGGAAGGAAGGAAGAAGGAAGGAGGAGGAGAGGAAGGAAGGAAGGAAAGGAAGGGAAAGAAGAAGGAAGGAAGGAGGGAGGGAAGGAAGGAAGGAAAGGAAGGAAGGAAGAAGAGGAGTAAATCTTGTAAGAATGTGTTTGTTTACAGGGCTGGAAGGGGAGATATAAGAAATTATATGGGCCAGGCACAGCAAACGGGGAAAATAACATGCAAGGGACCTTGAAACTTACAGGAACTGGGAAACCTTCGTATTCCAGGCGAAACTGTGGATCCAAAAAGATAGCTTGCCAAGAAGCCAGGTACGTAAGTTCATCCGTCATGAACGCAGACTGGGTGTGGGATTTCTTGGTCATATTCATAAACGTCTTGTGGTCGCTCATTAGATATAGCTGGAAATGGATTTGTCCAGAAATTGAACAAGAAGCAATTAAGATAGACAGACTAATTAAAGAACAAATCAAGTACTAGTAGGATTAGAGACTAGGGTCTGGATTTTGGGGAGCGGTAGTATTGCATTGATCTGGAATTCTCTTCATCTGACTGAACTGTGCAATGAACTGCCAGAAGACGTTTGACAGCTAGATGAACCATCAAAATTTAAGGCACAATTAAAAACTGATCTCCTCTGACAGGTCGACTTTAAACTAGGTATTTTAAAGTTACGTTTTGTTATTGGTACTTTAATCTTTGTTTTATGCTTTTAATACCATATATGTATTATATTCGTGTATTTTCACTGTGAGGAGAGGCAAGTAACAAATATTTATTTAGCATGGTGGTTAAAGCCACTAGCTGCAGGAAAGGCTGCTGACTGCAGGGTCAACAGTTTGAAGCTGCGAGTTAAATAAATAATAAATTATATGCAAACTGTAATCCACTCCGAGTCCCTCCAAGGAGAAAAAGTGAAATATAAATAAATTGTGTTGTTGTTGCAGCAGTAGTTGGATATAAGACTTCTAACAATTCTTCTGCAAGTTTACTCTCTTATAGCTATATCTCCCTATGTTGCCTCTCCAAGCAGCTTTCATGCCAACATCAAAAGGCATAGAGTACAGGGCTAACTTCCATGGAATCTGATAATTATGAAAACCAAAAACGATAGTCATTGATTTGACATGAATAATTCTTATTTTATTTATTTATTTACTGTATCCACCCTTCTCACCCCACAGGGGACTCAGGGTGGATTACAATGTACATATACAGGTAAACATTCAATGCCATAGACACACGATACATATAGACAGACAGTCAGAGGCTATTTTAACATTCCAACTTTTTCTGTCCACCAGGGGAGCTGTTGCTTCACCATCCATCTGCGACACTGATGAAGTACTTCCTCATCCCCCACATGCTTGCTGGAGATTTTTATGGCCTTGTAAATTAGTTCTATTAGCCTCCCCACATAAGTGGTACCTAATTTTCCTACTTGACTGATGCAACTGTCTTTCGGGCTGTAAAGGATGACAACAAACTACACAATTTGGCCGGAAGCTCACTCCGACCTGGGCTGGCTTCGAACTCATGACGTTTCGGTCAGTAATGTTATGCATATTTACTTACCATTTGATCTGGAAACCCTCCCGTTGCTCCAAGACCAAAGTTCTGCCCAAATCGAAGAGGCTCTCCCATTGCTTCTCCTTCAATGCTTTAATAATGAGACAAAAATCAGAACCGTTTCACAACAGGGAAGGATCCTTTTGTACTTTGACCCAGTCGAAAATAAGCCAATGTGATAAAATAGCAGACCAGGGCACCTTCTACACTACCGTATAATCCAGATTATCAAATCAGATAATCCATATGATCTGCTTTGAACTCAATTATATGAGTTGTTGTAGGTTTTTTTGGGCTATATGGCCATAGTCAGAGGGCCTCACTACCTCTGAGGATGCTTGCCATAGATGCAGGCAAAACGTCAGGAGAGAATGCCTCTAGACCATGGCCATACAGCCCAAAAAAATCCTACAACAACCCAGTGATTCCGACCATGAAAGCCTTTGACAATACATCAATTATATGAGTCTACACTGCCATATAATCCAGTTCAAAACAGATAAACTGGATTTTATGTGGCAAGGTAGAAAGGGCCTAGGAAACATTGCGACTGATTAATTAACATAAGATCTGCTTTCCCCATTATGATGAGATGCACAATAATTTTAATCACTGGGTGACATTCTGCTTGGCCTTATGTGTGTGTGAAATTGAATTGTGTAGTTTTGCAAAGTCCACATTCCCTTACCGTGCCTTATAACATATGGACATCCTTTGCAACTATGTTTTGGTGATGCACTTACTTTGTTTTTTTAAATTGTACAATTAGCCATACCAAACTATGAGGACAGTATGATACATGGACAGTAGGCTTTGGCAATCCATGGTTCTAAATGGTTCTAAAGTACTTACAAAACTAAAGTTCTGGTGGTGAAAACTAGGGGGTGCTGGTGCTTTGCTTCTACAGTGTTGCTAAAGTTCTAGTGGTGAAAATTTCAGAACTCTAACAAAACTTTCAAAATTTCGTTATAAATGGCAGTTCCTAATTAGTTCTGTCATAAAAATTGCCAATAACGAAATAATAATGAAATTTTGAAAGTTTGGTTATGAGTTCTGAAGTTTTCACCACCAGAACTTTTGCAACACTTTAGAAGCAAAGCACCAACGCCCTCTAGTTTTGTAAGTACTTTAGAACCATGGACGCATGGATTGCACATGCCTGGTAGCAAGGTTAATTGCTCCACTAAATTAAGTCTGGAGAATACATTGCTCACCTCTACAATATGAAAATTAATTCTTTTAAAAACACACCTTTGGGATGAAAAGCTACACTGCAAAGAATCTACTAGATCAGTGGTTCTCAACCTTTCTGATGCCGCGACCCCTTAATACAGTTCTATATGTTGTGCTGGCCCCCAACCATGACATTATTTTTGTTGCTACTTCACAACTGCAATTTTGTTACTGTTAGGAATCATCATGTAAATAACTGATATGTAAGATGTATTCTAATTCAGTGGATCAAATTTGGCACAAATACCCAATACGCCCACATTTGAATACTGGTGGAGTGGGGGGGGTGATTTTGTCATTTGGGAGTTGTAGTTGGTGGGATTTATAGTTCACCTACAATCAAAGAGCATTCTGAACTCCACCAGGAATGGAATTGAACCAAATTTGGCACACAGAACTCCCATGCCCAACAGAAAATATTGGAAGGGTTTGGTGGGCATTGACCTTGAGTTTTGGAGTTGTAGTTCACCTACATCCAGAGAGCACTGTGGACTCAAACAATAATAGATCTGGACCAAACTTGGCACGAATACTCCAATATGCCCAAATGTGAACACTGGTGGAGTTTGGGGAAATTGTATTTGGGAGTTGTGGTTGCTGGGATGTATAGTTCACCTAGAGTCAAAAAGCATCCTGAACCCCACCAACAATAGAATTGGGCCAAACTTCCCACACAGAACCCCCATGACCAACAAATTATTGGAGGGATTTGGGATGAATTGACAGTGATTTAGGGGAGATGTAGTACACCTTCCACCTTTCTGATGGGTTTTTGGCGACCCCTCTGACACCCCCTCACGACCCCCCAGGGGTCCTGACCCCCAGGTTGAGAAACGCTGTACTAGATCTTTCAGTTTCTCATACCTTAAAATCCGAAATGCATTTCGCCCAATTGGTGTCACGCTTCTGACCGCACTCACTCCGCAGGGAGCCACCAGCTTTTGAGATCTGTGTATTTCTTCTTCTTCGGGGCTCACAGCTAAGGAGAGGTCCCCACTTGTAGTAGGGTCTCTCTCCGTGGATGTGTTGTCATCCGGGTTCACAAGGAGAACGGTGTCCCCAAAGTGAACAAATCCATCTTTTGAAATGGAGAGATGCTCCTGTTTTAAAGAGGAAGACTGGATTAGAACAAATGTTGCTCAACTTGGTATTATTTTGCTGTTTTGGGAGCTGGAACCCAACAACGTCAAAGGGGTTGCAATTTGAAGGCGGCGATAATGGCATGATTTGAAAGTCCTCTGCAACTGTTTAATTCTTAATCGAATAAAAGTGAAAATATGTACTGTATATACTTGAGTATAAGCCTAGTATAAGCCTTTAACCCACTGCCCCGGTGGCGTAGTGAGTTAAAGTGCTAAACATTTTGACCGAAAGGTCGCAGGAAAGGTCGCAGGTTCAAATCCTCGTGAGTTAACTTTTGCAGGGAACTAGCATATGCTATTTTGGAAGGGATACAACATGCTTTCGGGCAACCGGTGGCACAGTGGGTTAAACCGCTGAGCTTGTTGACCGAAAGGTCGCAGGATCGAATCTGGGGAGCGGGGTGAGCTTCTTCCTCAAGTTCTTCCTCATGTTCAAACTACAAGAGAGGAGATTCCATCTGAACATGAGGAAGAACTTCCTGACTGTGAGAGCCGTTCAGCAGTGGAACTCTCTGTCCCAGCTTTTAAACAGAGGCTGGATGGCCATCTGTCAGGGGTGATTTGAATGCAATATTCCTGCAGAATGGGGTTGGACTGGATGGCTCAGGAGGTCTCTTCCAACTCTTTGATTCTATGTTTCTATGATTCTGCTGTCAGCCCCAGCTTCTGCCAACCTAGCAGTTCGAAAACAAGCAAATGTGAGTAGATTAATAGGTACTGCTCCGGCAGGAAGGTAACAGTGTTCCATGCAGTCATGCAGGCCACATGACCTTGGAGGTGTCTATGGACAACGCTGGCTCTTCTGCTTAGAAATGGAGATGAGCACCACACCTCAGAGTCGGACACAACTGGACTTAATGTCAAGGGAAAACCTTTAAGCTTAGTATTTCAGGGTTATCTGTTGTTGTTGTTGTCATTATTAAATTTATGATTTTACTTTATTTATTATTAATAATCTATATAAATAAAAATGTCAAGTTCGTTTGTGGGATTAACATAACTCAAAAACCACTGGATGAATTGACACCAAATTTGGACACAAGACACCTAACCCAATGTATGTCCTTCACTCAAAATTGATTTTGTCATTTGGGAGTTGTAGTTGCTGGGATTTATAGTTCACCTAACAATCAAAGAGCATTCTGAACCCCATCAATGATGGAATTGAACCAAACTTGGCACACAGTTCTCCCATGACAACAGAAAATACTGGAAGGGTTTGGTGGGCAGTGTCTTTAGTTTGGGAGTTGTAGTTCACCTACATCCAGAGAGGACTGTGGACTCAAACAATGATGGATCTGGACCAAACTTGGCACAAGCACTCAATATGCCCAAGTATGAACACAGATGAAGTGGACAGAACCCTCATGACCAAGAAAAAAATACTGGAAGTCTTTGGAAGGATTTATAGGAATTGTAGTCTTAGAAGTCAGGTAGAATAGAAATATGGAAAGCCGTAATAACAATTATACCTTCTTATAAAGATTATCTTTCAGTCGTTCTGATTTCTGGATGAGAAGTTCCCCCTTTTCTCTTTTATGTAAGAAGTCTTTCAGTAGTTCCTGTTTAAAAAGTGGGGAAACACATTGACATAGTATTTAACATGCAGCCCACATACTATTGCTGTTAGGTCCAAGTGGTACAATCTTCACACTGTTTACTACAGTGGTTCTCAACCTTCCTAATGCCAGGACCCCTTAATACAGTCCCTCATGTTGTGGTGACCCCCAACCATAACATTGTTTTCTTTGCTACTTCATAACAGTCATTTTACTACTGTTATAAATCATAATGTAAATATCTGATATGCAAGATGCATTTTCATTCACTGGACCAAACTGGGCACAAATACCCAATACACCCAAATGTGAATGCTAATGGGGTTGGGGGAGGATTGATTTTGTAATTTGGGAGTTGTAGTTGCTGGGATTTATAGTTCACTTATAATCAAAGAGCATTCTGAACCCCACCAGCGATGGATTTGAACCAAACTTGGCTCCCATGACCAATACGGAAAACACTGGAAGGGTTTGATGGGCATTGACCTTAAGTTTGGGAGTTGTAGTTCACCTATATCCAGAGAGCACTGTGGACTCACGCAATGGTGGATTTGGACCAAACTTGGCACAAATACTCAATATGCGCAAATGTGAACCCTGGTGGAGCTTGGGGAAAATAGACCTTGACTTTTGGGAGTTGTAGTTGCTGGGATTTATAGTTCATTACAATCAAAGAACATTCTGAACTCCACCAACGATATAATTGGCTCAAACTTCCCACATGGAATCCCCATGACCATCAGAAAATACTGTGTTTTCTGATGGTCTTTGGCGACCCCTCTGACACCCCTTCGTGACCCCCTCAGGTGTCCCGACCCCCAGGTTGAGAAACACTGGTTTACTACATAGTAACATTCTTATTTTTGAGAAGGTTTTTGAAAAGTTAATGCAGAAGCAGAAGAGATTGAATGGTTTAAAGAACATGCAAACGACACAGATTAGAAATGAAAAATAGTGTCATCCATAAAATATGTTGAATATGAAACATGGATGTTGTTAATTGACATAATGATTGAGGACAATTTCCTTTTTTGTGTGTGTGTGTGTCAGGAGGGACTTGAGAAACTGCAAGTCGTTTCTGGTGTGAGAGAATTGGCTGTTTACAAGGACGTTGCCCAGGGGATGCCTGGATATTTGGATGTTTGGATGTTTTTACCGTCGTTGTGGGCGGCTTCTCTCATGTCCCCGGAAGGGGAGCTGGAGCTGACAGAGGGAGCTCATCCGATCTCTCCCCAGATTCGAACCTCTGACCTGTCAATCTACAGTCCTACCAGCACAAGGATTTAACACATTGTGCAACTGGGGGCTCACTTATCCCAGACTATGCAAAGTACCCTCCTATTAATAGATTTTTTTTTCCAGTTGCTTGAGAATTCTGGTTGTTTGAATTCTAGCTAACTGTCAGTCTACTGTGCAGTGGACATCAGCTGCTGCTGTGAAGCTATAACATATATATATATATATTACATTACATTACATATGTTATAGCTTCACAGCCATATATATATATATATATATATATATGGCTATATGGATATATGGCTATATGGATATATGGCTATATGGCTGTGAAGCTATAACATATATAATGTTCGTTTGTGGGATTAACAGAACTCAAAAACCACTGGACGAATTGACACCAAATTTGGACACAAGACACCTAACAACCCAATGTATGTCCTTCACTCAAAACATTGATTTTGTCATTTGGGAGTTGTAGTTGCTGGGATTTATAGTTCACCTACAATCAAAGAGCATTCTGAACCCCACCAACGATGGAATTGAACCAAACTTGGCACACAGTTCTCCCATGACCAACAGAAAATAGTGGAAGGGTTTGGTGGGCAGTGTCCTTTGGTTTTGGAGTTGTAGTTCACCTACATCCAGAGATCACTGTGGACTCAAACAATGATGGATCTGGACCAAACTCTACATGAATACTCAATATGCCCAAATGTGAACACTGGTGGAGTTTGGGGAAAATAGAATCTTGACATTTGGGAGTTGTAGTTGCTGAGATTTGTAGTTCACCTACAATCACAGAGCATTCTGAACCCCACCAACGATAGAATTGGGCCAAACCTCCCACACAGAACCCCCATGACCACCAGAGTGGGCCACAGCAATGCGTGGCAGGGGACGGCTACCACTGGACGAATTGACACCAGATTTGTACACAATACACCTATCAGGCCAACGAGTGACCATCACTCATAAAAACATGGAAAAACACAGCAAAAGAGACTTAAAAAGCCAAAAAACAAAAAATTACAACACATGTACAAAACCACACATATATAGGCAAACACACATATATATACACAGACTGAGCCACAGCAACGCGTGGCAGGGGACAGTTTGTGTGTGTGTGTATATAATGTTCATTTGTGGGATTAACATAACTCAAAAACCACTGGAGAAATTGACACCACATTTGGACACAATATACCAATCAGGCCAACAAAAGGTAGAAAGGAAGGAAGGAAGGAAAAACACAGTGGAAGAGATTTTAAAAGCCAAAAAACAAAAAGTACATTACAACTCATGCACAAAACCACATATATACACATATACACAAATAAATACAGAAATATATACACACATATATGCACACACAAAACACATATACACAGAAAGGGGGAAGGAAGAAGGAGGAAGGGGAGAGAAGGAAAGAAGGAAGGGAGAAAGGAAGGTGAGAAAGAAGGAGGAGGAAATAAAAAGTGAAAGAAGGAAGAAAGGGAAGGAAGGAGAAGGAAGGAAGGAAAGGGGAAGGAGGAGGAGGAAGAAGAAAGGGAAAGGAAGGAGGAAGAAGGAAGGAAGGAAGGAGGAAAGAAGGAAGGAAGAAAGGAGGAAAGAAGGGAAGGAGAAGGGAAGGAAGGAAGGAAGGAAGGAGAAGGAAAGGAAGAAGAGAGAAGGGAAGATCAGGCCAATGAGTGACCATCACTCATAAAAACACTGTAAAACACAGCAAAAAAGACTTAAAAGTCAAAAAACAAACAATTACGATGCATGCACAAAACCATATGTATACACAAACACACATATACACAAGAGAAGGAAGAAATGAGAGAAGGAAATAAAAAGTGAAAGAAGGAAGGAAAGAAGGAAGGAGAGAAGGAGTTAAAGAGAGAAACAGGTAGAGAAGGATGAAAGAAGAAGGGAAAAAGAAGGAAAAGTAAAAGAGGGAAGGAAGGAGAGAAAGAAAAAGAGAAAGAGGGAAGGTTGGCCACAGCAACGCGTGGCGGGTACAACTAGTGTGTGTGTGTGTGTGTATGAAATTCATGATTTAATGATGCACAATTGCAATGATGCAATGGGTCTGAATTACCTCTTCAAGGTAGACATCTTCGTTCCAGTTTCCGATAAGCACCCCAGGGCTATAGTTCCGGCCACTCATGCTCTTCCTAACACAGAACATATTGCCTTGCTCTAAAGTCAGGGCCCTGGATTCGCCTGGAAAGAGTCAAACAAACAAACCGGTTTTGTGTTCCCTTCCGTAAGCAAGATGGGTGATCTGTGTTGGGTTTACAGGTTGTCAGGGGAACCCTCCTGGCCAGGGATTGGACCCGTTGGGGGAGAACAGGGAGCCAATCAGAACTGACAGAATGCATAAGATAGGAAGGTGCTCTTTTGCATCACTGCCACTATGCAGCAGGCATGGGCAAACGGGCCCTCCAGGTGTTTTGGACTCCAACTCTCATAATTCCTAAGGTCCTTTCCTGAGGCTGTTAGGAAAGTACCTGAGGCTGTTAGGAATTATGGGAGTTGGAGTCCAAAACACCTGGAGTGCCTAAGTTTGCCCATGCGTGCTGTTGCATGTCTGGGCAAAAGCCCACCTTACACCTAAAAATGCATTTTTGACCTTTGCAGAGGTGGTTGTTGTTGATGCTATTATTATTACCCACAGAAGAAAGGATTGATTCCACCCACTGTGGCTATCGATGTACAGCCACTACTTATTGTATTCCTTCCTCACTCAACCACTGGTTGGTGCTCATCTCCATTTCTAAGACAAAGAGCCAGCGTTGTCTGTAGACACCTCCAAAGTCATGTGGCTGGCATGACTGCATGGAGGGCCATTACCTTCCCACCAGAGCTGCTAGATTGGCAGAAGATGGGGCTGACAGCGGAAGGTCACCCTGCTCTCTGGATTCGAACCTGCAACCTTTTGGTCAGCAAGCTAAGCAGCTCGGCAGTTTAACCCACTGCGTCACCGGGGGCTCCCTTCATGCTACATATATGACATATATGTGTGTGTGTGCGCGCAATGTTTGTTTGTGGGATTAACATAACTCAAAAACTACTGGACAAATTGATACCAGATTTCAACACAATACACATATCAGGCCAATGAGTGACCATCACCCATAAAAACACTGAAAAACACAGCAGAAGAGACTTAAAAAGCCAAAAAATAAAAACATACATTACAACACATGTGCAAAACCACACCCACATACACATATATATGCACACACACATATATACACAAATATATATACACTAAGCACATATACACAGACTGGGCCACAGCAACGCATGGCAGGGGATGGCTAGTATATATATAATTTTTCAGACAACATACCTAGGGGCTACAGATGACATACTAGTGTGTCCCAACACACAGTTTGGAATGCTCTGATTTATAGTTTGGCAAGATACGCTTTGGCTTACCTTTGGAACTTTTCTATGTCCCCTCGCCCGTTTTTCATATTAAGAGTTTTTTGAGAACTTGGAAGATTGTACATTTTTCTGACATTTTTGTTTATTGCACATTTGGGGAGTTTGGGAGTTTAATACAATAGCTCCATCTTGTGGTATACTTGGTTTGTTGCCTGTCTTTGTGCAATATATGTTCATCTGAAGGTTGGTTCAGAAACTCATAAGCATTTGTTTTAAATCAAATAATTGGAGTTGCCAAATTAGGTTTTTGGACGAAAGGAGAGTGATGTTTTGGATTTTTTTAAATAGTGTAATTGTTCGGTTTCAAGGCCCTGTCCTTGATTGCTTGCTAACTTCAGAGGAAACAAGGTGTGTGTTTACACTGTGGAATGAATGCAGTTTGACATCACTTCAGCTGCTGTGGACTGCTTACTTAGTAGTAAACAAGGGGTGTGTTTACACTGAAATGAATGCAGTTTGACACCACTTCAACTGCTGTGGACTGCTTACTTACTAGTAAACAAGAGGTGTGTTTACACTGTGGAATGAATGCAGTTTGATGTCACTTTAACTGCTGTGGACTGTTTTTATTAGTAAACAAAGGGTGTGTTTACACCATGGAATGAATGCAGTTTGATATCACTTTAACTTCTGTGGACTGCTTACTTCCTAGTAAACAAGGGGTGTGTTTACACTGTGGCATGAATGCAGTTTGACATCGCTTTAACTGCTTTGGACTGCTTACTTCCTAGTAAACAAGGGGTGTGTTTACACTGTGGCATGAATGCAGTTTGACATTACTTTAACTACTGTGGACTGCTTACTTAATAGTAAACAAGGGGTGTGTTTACACTGGAATGAATGCAGTTTGATACCATTTCAACTGCTGTGGTCGGCTTACTTACTAGTAAGCAAGGGGTGTGTTTACACTGTGGAATGAATGCAGTTTGACATCACTTTAACTGCTGTGAACTGCTTACTTACTACTAAACAAGGGGTGTGTTTACACAGTGGAATGAATGCAGTTTGACACCATTTCAACTGCTGTTGACTGTTTACTTACTACTAAACAAGGGGTGTGCTTACACTGGAATGAATGCAGTTTGATATCACTTCAAGTGCTGTGGTCGGCTTACTTACTAGTAAGCAAGGGGTGTGTTTACACTGTGGAATGAATGCAGTTTGACATCACTTTAACTGCTGTGAACTGCTTACTTACTACTAAACAAGGGGTGTGTTTACACAGTGGAATGAATGCAGTTTGATATCACTTCAACTGCTGTGGAATGCTTACTTCCTAGTAAACAAGAAGCGTGTTTACACTGTGGCATGAATGCAGTTTGACATCACTTTAACTACTGTGGACTGCTTACTTCCTAGTAAACAAGGGGTGTGTTTACACTGTGGAATGAATGCAGTTTGACACCACTTCAACTGCTGTGGACTGTTTACTTACTTAGTAAACAAGAGGTGTGTTTACACTGTAGAATGAATGCAGTTTGATGTCACTTTAACTGCTGTGGACTGCTTACTTACTTGTAAGCAAGGGGTGTGTTTACACTGTGGAATGAATGCAGTTCAACATCACTTCAACTGCTGTGGACTGTTTGCTTACTATATAATAAGAGGTGTGTTTACACTGTGGAATGAATGCAGTTTGACACTACTTCAACTGCTGTGGATTGCTTACTTACTAGTAAACAAGGGGCATATTTACACTGTGGCATGAATGCAGTTTGACACCACTTCGACTGCTGTGGACTGCTTATTTCCTAGTAAACAAGAAGTGTGTTTACACTATGGAAGAAATGCAGTTTGACACCACTTTAGCCGCTGTGGACCACTGCTATGGAATCCTGGGAGTTGCAATTTGACACTTTCTTTAGCCTTGTTGTCATCACCTCGTCTTCCATAGCAATACATTTTAACTGAGGCTCAAGATGGATCCCTGGCTGAATCTGAAATGAAAAATAATGATGATACGGATGAAGGCACATCCTGTTCAAAGCATAATAAAGCCTCTTCCAGTCATTTTAGGGTGCATCTACACCGCAGAATTGATGTAGTTTGACATCAGTTTAACTCCTTGCCATTATAAAACTGACATGTCAAGCTCTCTTGTACACCCTGCTGGTGTTTGCTGAATTCTGTTTTGACTCTTTGTGACCGAAAAAGCTAATGCTCATTGCTTTTCATCAGCTAAATTTGTCTTTACTCGCCCACTTTGGCTGTCAATTTCCTCTTTGGCAGGAAATTGAGGGGATTTTAAAGAAGTTTCCTAGCTATTCATAGTAGTAGGAAAGGACACACCAAGCCTGCCCAAACCTCTTAGATACGAGCCATTTTTTTTATTCCCCAGGGAAGATCATTTCACAAAAACACAATGGAAATCAAGAATGACTTTCTACCATTTCCATTGCTGATTCCTGTTTTGCCAATTTCCATCCCTTCCAAATTCCCAAGAGATGAACAAGGGCAGGAACTACAGATTTGGATAGGAAATCAATATTCCCATTGATTTACAGAATTAGTAGTTTGGCACCACATCAACTGCCATGGCTCTTTGCTGTGGAATCATGGGAGTTGTAATTTTACAAGGTCTTTTGCCTTCTCTGCCAAATCGTGTTTTGCCAAAATATAAATCAGAGCATTCCAAACTGTGTGTTGGGACACAATTGTATGTCACCTGTAGCCCCTAGGTGTGTCGTCTGAAAATTTTTATATGAGCCCTCAGTGGCACAGTGGGTTAAACCGCTGAGCTGCTGAGCTTGTTGACTGAAAGGTCACAAGTTCGAATCCACGGAGCAGCATGAGCTTCCGCTGTCAGCCCCAGCTTCTGCCAACCTAGCAGAAAACATGCAAATGTGAGTAGATCAATAGGTACCGCTCCAGTAGGAAGGTAATGGTGCTCCATGCAGTCATTCTGGCCACATGACCTTGGAGGTGTCTACGGACAATGCCAGCTCTTTGGCTTAGAAATGGATATGAGCACCACACCCCAGAGTCGGACACAACTGGACTTAATGTCAGGGGAAAACCTCCAAACAAAGGATTCCTCTAGGCAGCAATCAGCCAGGCTTTGAAGCTGCAAGGCTATTCAATGGTAATCAAGGTGGCCAATCGCAACATTCACACTTGCCTCAAGCAGACAAGAGTTCTTTCTCCCACCCTGGACATTCCACAGATATATAAACCTCACTTGCCTAGTTTCCAACAGACTCTTCCAACCTCTGAGGATGCCTGCCATAGATGTGGGCGAGACGTCAGGAGAGAATGCTTCTGGAACATGGCCATACAGCCTGGAAAACTCACAGTAACTCACCGCAACTCAAAGTACAAGGTGTTGGTTTTGATCCTTTAAAGCTCTATGTAGTTTGGGTCCAGGTTACCTAAAGGATTGTCTTCTCCCACACAATCTAAAACACAAGGCCACGATTCCACTCCTTCCCCATTTTTGAATGTTGAACTCAGTTTGAACCATGGAAGCAAGCCGAGGGCAATGTGGGAAAGAGGAAAAAGAAACCTTTTTTTCCTTCTTCAAAAATAGCTGACAAAATGAGACGACAGAGAATGAATGGTAACGTCCCCAGACCAACCAGGACAATTTTGAAGGTATGCAGAAATGCCGCCTTGCAGCCTGTTTACCCGCTACTAGAATCTCTTTGCTCCTTTTATCCGGGGTGGAGCTCACTTCCTCAACAGATGGAGCGCAGGGCTGCCGTCTGCTTTATATCCTGCTTTCAGTAAAGATGCTCTCTTACACAAAGGCTTTCCTCCCCATTTAACTTTTCCAATACTCATAGGATGTATAGCAGAGCTTTCCAAACTTGTTGTGTTGCTGCCATGCTTTTTAGACATGCATCCTTTCACAACACGGTAATTCAGTTTTACTAGCAAGCCAGAGGTTGAACCATGCCTGGAAAAACTTCGGC